TACACCCCCTTGGTGACATGTACTGACAGCTGTGCTGTATATTGGGGTCAAGTTCTGTGGCAAGATCTCTGGGAGCTAGGCCACTGGAACAGGTGATTTTAGGGCATGTTACTGGTCACATCCTCTGACTAGCCCAGGGAATGGTGAAGCAGATGCTCCCACTGACCTGTGGCTTGATCACAGTACTGCCTACAACATGCAAATATGAAAACCATGCGAGACATGGTCAAACCACGTGCCATGTGGAGTGACCTGGTGGATACCCACCAGCCTGTGTGGCTTGTGCTCAGGGGGTATCCTCATCCTCGACGCCTTGGAGCCACAGCCAGCCAGGTAATGTGTGGATGTAGCTCTTTAGCATGATGTCAGGTTGACGATGTTGTCCCATTCCTGATGTTAAAGTGTTGTGTTTGCCTCAACGGCAGTTGAAACAACCACAAGCTTGCAGTTTGCCTGGCCTCATGGCCAAGTGTAGCGAGTGCTACCATCTGCATGCCAACAGTGCTGATGGCTTTGTGTGGCCAGCTCATCACAATAGTGATCAAAGCGCCCATCTCATAGGTCAGGGGGTACAGTGAGGGGCAACTCAGTTACAGATTTGATGGAAGCTGCATGTCCCAGACCCCCACAGGCTGCAGGCACTGTAGAGATAATAGCCTGCTTCAGCATGGACTTGGGACTGCAGTCAACCCACCTTCTATGAAGGGGTGGGCACAGGGTCTGTGGGCAGTTGTGATAGCTCTGAAGGAGTGTCCCTGATGAGGGGGATGAGCTCCTGTGGAGGCATTGCTGCAGCGCACAGTGGCCCTAGTACTGGTCCAGGTTACCACAAAGGTTGTACCTAAGCCTGGGTTTGGGAAGCAAGGGGTTGGTCTCTTGCCTGCTCCCAAAGAACTGAATGGGGGGAAGCTGTGGAGTGGACACAGCCCTGGGCAGTAAAGGCACCCCCTCCACTAGGCAGCACTAACTCCATGGAGCAAAGGTATGTAATATGATCTCTTTATGACACCATGGGTGACCAGCGAATGGTCCCCACCCTCGTGAATGTGACTTGGCCAGATCCCCTAGATGGGACCAGATTTTAAAGGATGCATTTGTTCTTTCCCTTTGGCCCATTATGAGTTCCTGCTTCCCGTGCACACAAACCTGCTAAAGTTCAAGACCAAAGGGCAGGAGTGTGGCATCACTGCCAGGGAAGCCACCACAGGTGGCCACTGTGCTTTCCCAACACTCAAATCTTGCAAGCATGGCTTTGTCCTTTGGTTCATAGGTGTGTCCCCGTCAACACATTGTGAACTGGACACATGTCTACGCCAGAGTGAGAGACTCCTCTGCTTGCTGAGGATGTGCCAAGTGCCCCTGACTTCTGCCTGACTACCCTGGCAAGTCCAGACTGTGCCCCTGAACAGCTTAGGACTGCAGTCAACCCACCTTCTATGAAGGGCTGGGCACAGGGTCTGTGGGCTGGGAAGGGCTTTCATTGCCACCTCAATATGGGAGGAAACTGGTGTTGGTTTTGTAATCCTAGGTGGTGAGCTGGGTCTGTCTTCTGATTGTGTGTTAGCAATATACATGTTGTTGTATGTTGTACTACTCTTGTGGCCAATGGTTGCAGGGCTTTGCCATCCTTACCTTGGGTTCATGGTGAAAGACTCCAACCACGTGGACTGTATGGCAAGGAACCCTAAAGTGGTAGATTGTAGGGCAGGCCCAAGATGGCGATAGTCAGGCCCTCTCACTGAGCCTTCTGGTGAATTGTGTTGGTAGTCAAGGTCATGAGTACCCTGATTCAGCATATGTACTCAAGGTCATAGACATTTGCTGTGAGCATGAGCTCGCGACGCACCCTGTTGACACCATGCTTCTTTGTCTGGCCTGCCTATCAAAAAAGCCTATGTAAAGACTCAGGGCCCAGGGCCTTCTGCAGCCTTGGAATGAAGCACGTCTACTATCCCAACTGTGCCTAGCTTCTTTCTTCACCAGCCAGAATCCCAGATCTGTTTCCCAAGGTCTGAGCCCAGAAGGACACCAAGCAATTGCTTCAGATGTTTCTAACTTACGTAAAGGCCCAGGGCTTTCTGAAGTATGTCCACCTTTTTGTGAGTAAAATTTGAAATCATCATTGTGAAATTCGTGTTTCTTGACTTCTCCTTTTTTGTAATTGCTTCAGAGGATAAGCTGAGAGGAACTCGTGGGGAGAAGACTGGTGTATATAATTCTGACCAATAGGCGTACAATAAATTTTTTATTTTAGCATCAACACCCATACTTGGAGAGGGAAATGGTGCTAAATGTAGCTAACAGAAGTCATCTATCTAAACAGTGGTCTACACAGATGTTAGAACTTAAAAAAAAAAAAAAGAGATCCCAGAGATTGGCTGCTGTGAGGAGTTGCCAGAATTCCTGGGATGGGTAGGCAAGAAAGGAGGAGTTGTGATCAGGAGCTGGGTGTGTAGGAGGCTGGTGCACATGCAGCACTTTGGCCTCCTGAGGGCCCCATGTGGCTGCTGCCGAGAGCCCTTCTGAGCGTGATGGACAGGCCTTGCTGGAATTCAGAATATGCCAGAGCTGGCACTGTCTTTGACAATTGTAGAGGCTTCTAAAAGAAACAGAAGTATCAGTTGAACTTTTCTTTTCCGTCTTCCAATCTCCCGATGATGCCTGCCCCTGGTAGGAATTAGCAGAATCCAGAGGGCAACAAATTTGGGAAACCCAGTTTACAGAAATCCATCTCCAGAATGAAAGACAGGAATGCAGAAAGGTGGGTTCAGTCAGAGCTATGGAAATGATATTGCTCACTATTAAAAATTAAACTGAACATAAAATATTTTTTTGCAAATTTAGTACACATTCAAACAATGAAACTTAACCTTGCATCACACTGGTAACATTACAGTGGAGAGTGGATTTCTAGAGACCTTATTGAGTATCTGACTCAAGTGGGTGAATTTAAGGCAGAAACATCCCTTCTTGGTATGACTGATTATAGTAATATTTGTGTTAATATTTTGAGAACTTATATTCTCATGTAAATCAAATGTCAGATAATGTCAGCAATCAAATTTTCATGATACCAGGATCGTAAAAAGCTACAGCTAATGGGTGGCAAAACAAATGAAAATTCAGACCATCTTGTTCTGAAGAGAATATAGAGGAACAAAGGTAGAATTTCACATTTAAGAAATAGATTCTCCCTTAGTAAAATGAAGTAATAACAGTGGAACCAGAAAGTGAGCTGGACACTTTGGGTCAGTTAATTAAATTTTCTGAGCAGGATCTGGCTCGCTTTCAGTATGTGGATGGTGTCAGTTCATCAACCCTCATGAGGAAAGTTACAGGAGACAACCAAAAAATACTGTTGATGCTAGCTGTAATTATTATTACTAATACTTTATTCAGCTGAAGCCACAGGATGACTGGAGTCCTCAAAGGAAAGATCTCAGGTGGCTCCCTTAAGGGTACAACCATAATCTCCATCAAGGACAAGTGAGACATTCAGCTGCTCAGGGTTGGGGAATATCACAAAAGGTCAATATCAGTGCAGGAGAGTGGGATAAACCTGAAGGGCGTCAGTCAAGTGGGCATGATCCAGAATGTGCCCATGGAACAATGCCCATTGGGACAGGTTGGTATTGACCACAGGTTTGTTGTACTCATTTTAAAGTCATTCTTAATATGGTTACTAATTGGTTTTATATCCAAAATGAATGCATACGAAGTACCAAAGGTACCCATCAAATTTTACCCATTTTCTCAGAATGCTGCTTTAAAGATGAGTCATAGGAAATGCTTTAAAGTATTTAATTTTTTTGTGTATCCGTTTTTTAATTTTGCAACAGTAGTATGTGTGATTTCAGTAATACACAAACAAACTATCCACTTGAAAAACTACATGTAATTGTAAAAATAAAGAAATGGAGGGGAAATCTTGTGGAGTCAAATTTAAAAATCATTCATATTTTTCAAATCTATACTTTCTCCATATACTAAAATGGTCTAGCATCAATGAGTATATATAGTTCCAAGGTTTTCTCCTCTACTTTCATTCCCTGATTAAGGAAATCAGGACTCCTTGAAAAAAATGATTAATTCCAGACTTCAGACAGGAAAGATGTATGAGAAGTAGAAAAAAGATATGGTAGGAAATACACAAAGGTGTCCACAGCATGGATCTCAGCAATGTGTGATGTTGTTGTTGTTGTTATTTCCTTTTTGTTTTTCCACTGCAGGACACACACATACACCCACCCCCACACACACACACGGTCTTGGGGCTCCATGTCTGTAAAAAGCTTTGAATTCTCTTAGCTACCTAAATTGTTCTCACTCTAATACTTCAAGTTATATGACCGTAGCCAAGTTACTTAGCCCTTTTAAAACTCATTTCACTCATTTATAGGCAAACAATAATGTTGATCCTATAGACTTATCATTTGGACTCATTTAAAGTCTGTATGTAAGTCACTTAGCATAGGGCCAGGATGGTATAATAAATAATTAGTAAGTTTCACCATTACTGTTATCACTACTATCATCATTAGTTTTCATAACTCTCCTCTCAAGAAATTATCATAATGAATTGCCAGTATTTCCGATCTCTTACAGGTTACTGTGAATTCTGTAGAGGCAGAAACGATGGCTATTTTGTTTCCTATGTTTTCAACACTTAAAAAAAAAATGTATGTTCATAGGATAGGGGCTGGAGCTCAGAGGTACAGCACTTTTCCAGAATGCATGGTTCCGAGGTCCTGAATTCAATCCCTAGTACCATGGGTGGGGAGAGACGGTAAAAGTATGTTTATTTATTTTCGCAAATTCCACAATGAGCTCTTTTATAAGATTATCTGCATCCTGTATATTTCCTAAGAATATTTCATTAGGATTAAAGATACTTTTTCAACATGATTGCTCAATACATGCTTGCTGAAGCACAAATAAGAGTGAGATCACTGATAGAACTTGCACAGGTTTCCTGTAACTCGTCAAATGCAGCATTCGCTTTCACCCGGATCCATGCTGGGTAACAGTGGGGTTTAAACTTTATCGAGCTTCTTGTTGGCCAGGTGCACAGCTCTACATTCAGGAGGTAAAGGCCAGCTCCTGGCTGTCACAGCTCAGTGGCAGGCACAGCGAGGGAGGCATCTTCTGTGTTCCTGAAGACAGGGAGGCCAAGAAGCAGCAGCATGGGAAGAATGTCATGGTTTCTTCTTCTCCTGGGGGTCCTGGCCGCATATTGCATCTACACGCCGCTCCCAGAGAATATTGAGGAGCCGATGCTGACCAACACACCTCTGAAAGCTCTTGCACATTTGGTAAGTCTGCAATTTTTTGAATTTCAGATGGGCATGTGCCGCCATTTGATCCAAAGAAGTTCGTTTTCCAAGATTCTCTTCTTTCGATTGAGTGATTTATTCACCTTTTAAAATTAAGTACTCTGACTTTTGATTGTTCATTCCTTAGAAACATAGCTTGTTCGTTTGCTGCTTGCTATTTTATATATTGCAATCACATTCACAAATATCAAGAACAGTGAGTGAGGGCCATTTGGGTAGGCATACTGAAAAGATGATTTACGTTTAGTAGCATTAATGTCACAATGCTAGCCGTCTTTTGAACTGCTCATCTCCCGTGTGGGCTAGTATTTAAATCTAATAAGGAAACCAGAGACCGACCGTCTGCCTGTGTAGCCGCTATCCTGACAGACATCCTGGCATTCTCCTTCAGGATTCAGTGGATAGAACGAGGGCATGTACACAACTTCTCAAGGAATCCCTGCACAGGCAGCCTTGTGGGCACATGCCCAGGGTGGCCACAATGGACATAATGTGCAGAAATGGAAGGGGTGTCCCCGCTGCATCATGAGAACTGCCTGCTTGCCAGAGCAGCCCGGTGTCCCCAGACAAGGAAGGTAGAGCCCTCTCCTGCACCCTGGGTGGGTCTGCCCATATTTTTTCATTTGTCTTCCCTTTATTTTTAAAGTTCTATTTTCAGAACATTTTGCTTCCCACTTGTTCAACAACTGAAATCTGTTAGGCAAACAAGGTTTAGTGTGGGAGAGAAAATAATAAATTAAAATCAAATAAATGAATGATTTCAGGTCCTAGGAACTGACTTAAAAGAGAGAAGTCGGTGGGGAAAAGAGCAATAAGGGCGGATGTGAGGAGCAGGGCTCCTGTGTTTGGGATCAGCAAAGCCCATTCTGAAGAGGAGATGCCTCTTAGGGACTATGGGATGACATGAAGCCGGCAGCCTGAGCACTAAGGAGAATTCTCGAGCAGAGACACCAAGCACAGCCCATCGGCAAGTCCCAGAAGTCACTTAAAACATTTGGGTATAATGGGAAAGGCTGCAATCTAATTTGAAGAGTCATGGTGTCATGCCAGGCAGAGCAGCGTGGCTAATGGTAGTAAGAGGTGATTTAATTCTACATGTAATGTATAGCTGGCCAAGTTTCAAGAAGGGGACAATTCCTTCCTAATATTTGCTCTCTTACAATTCATCTGTTCTTTTTCCTGATTAGTTTGGCTGGCTTCCCTCAAATGCTTGACAATCTTTGCATATGTATTCACATATTTTATTAAAGAATTGTGTTATAAATAAAAAATAAAACTGCGGGATTTAGAATATTAGTTAAGTAAGTAGACCCAGATTGCACAACTAGTTGTGCAATCTAGGGCTACTTCCTTAACTTCTCTGGGTTCATTTCCTCATCTTTCAGTGATATGATAATATTCCCTGCCCCATGCAGGCAAGCTGTCATATTACTGAGATTAAAGTGAAATGGAAAAGAACCAAAGTGAAGCTATTTGGTTCTGACCTGTCTCCATTGTACGCTTGCTTACAATGTTCTCTTTCCAGCCTCCTGACAGCTGTATCCACATCGACAGTACAGTAGGACCTTCCCGCATCCCTGACTGTGGCCCTAACATATAATACAATGACTCTGAAATGTACAATTAAAACAATTCTCTCATGTAATTGAAATATCTGTCTCAACAGGGTCTTTCTGACCTACATGTGCCTCAATCCTTCTTGTGGGCCTTGCCTTTATGAACTCTGTACTTCCAAAATTCAGGTGTTGGAGTTCTTTGAGGTGCTAGCCTGCTCTTCAAAGAACCCTTTGCCCCCTTTCAACTTGGTGCCGTGGTTGGTAGTTCTCACGCACTCCATAACAAAAGCACATAGAGCGCTTGGAGCAGTGTCTTATTCTCAGGTAGAGGGGCAGGCTGCAGGCAGGCTGGCTGGCCTCCTGGCCTCTCCTTCCTCCTGTCCATTCTTTCCCTCCCGACCTGCCCCCACCCCTGTGCATCAAGCCTAATAGGCCCCACATTGTCCAGCTACATAGCACCTCTGCTGGAGTCGTTTTTCCTTTTTAACTTTTTTTTTTTTTAGTTAAATTCTTATGGGAGATGGTCTTTCTTTCAAAAGTCGGTTAAAATCCTGCCTCCTGGGTGAAACCTCCTTCCACCAGTGCTCTCAGCCAGCTGTTCTGCCCATGCACAGCTCGGCCATGGCGTGGTCAGGGCTTTGCAAGTCTCCTTACCTGGCTTTTGCACTGACCTGTGAGGTTCCTGAGAGAGGGTTCCTCTGTCTGGTCCATCTCTGGAGCCCTGAAGCTTCGATCCGATCTCACTTTATGGAAAGAGGACTAACTGGATGCTTTTCCTCCTTTTGACGACCACTGTAGGCCAGCCTTGGCACCTCTGTTTCTTCTGAAGGGACAAAGGAGATTCTAGTGTGAGGATTTGGCTCCTTTCATTGGAGCTAATTAAGGATCAATGCAGACTGATGTGTTCAGAGATCTCTTTAGCCTTTGGAACTTGAATTGCAAAGATGTGTGTGAATTTCATTTTCAGGCTACATTTCTGGGACTTGGCCGTTATTTTGATTTCTTCATGCTCATGATGATATTTCCAGAAGTCCCACCAACTTCAGATAAAAATGTCATTGTGACTGACACAAAATTCAACAACACTCCTGTCCGTGTGTATGTGCCCAGGAGGAAGTCAGACACCCTGAGAAGGAGTGTGTTTTACATACACGGAGGGGGCTGGAGCTTGGGAAGTGCTGGTAAGTGATACAGTCCCTACCCAGGGCCTTCTGTGGGGGATGCTGCTATCTCTCCCGAACTCTCTTGCTTTGACCTCCTGGAAAAGTTTTGCTCTTCCTTAAAGCTTCAAATCCCCCTTTCCCATGAATGTCTTTCTTCATCCACCCAGGTACAGTTGTGAGGCATAAGCTCTCCTCCCTGCTGAGAAGACTTTAAGAATCATACTTTGCTGCTTCTGTCATTCTCCAAGTGGTATTGTAGGGCCATCTCAAGGGTTAATTCGTTTATTCTCATATTTACAATTCTAAGAAGGCATCCTTGAACAGACAAAAATTCTTCATGGAGCTTATATTCAACTGTGTAATCAGTTGATATGTTAATAATTCAGGCTATCATAGGCCAGACACATCAAGATTGTGTGCAAAGATTACACATCTCTTGAATATAGATTTACAGTAAAAAAAACATGAAATATATTTAGAAGTGAAAGCATTTTAGAGATAAAAGTCACAGTCTTGTGACTGAGAAAGTCACTCAACCCACTTAGTCCCAGAGTACTTGATAGTCACCTGTTTACCCACCAGTGAATACAGATCCACGGGAGGAGTGGAGGCTGGACAGGGTCCAGGTCAAGAACTCTGAGCTCCAGAGAGGAAGAACATGTGGGTCCAAATGAGAATTGCTAACCAGCTCGACCTCAGGCACAGTTGGTCAACCCCTGTGGGGGGTTAGGAGAGCAGAGGAGGGAGAGAGAACCCACAATGGGAAGACTGTCCTGTGTCTACCAGGAGCCCGGAAGGGTGGGCACAGAACCCTGGGGACACTTTGGCAGTGTGAGGGTGGTTCTGAGGGGTAGCACAGCCTTGCATCTGTTCCCTGTTGCTCTAGAAGGTAGCCCCTGGACAAGTCCCAGAAAGGAAAACAAACCCAGGGGCTTTGTCAACATAAAACCCTTTCTTTACCTGTCCATTCTTATATCCTGCTCTTATTCCTTTTATTTCAGCTTTCATAAGCTATGACCTGCTGTCAAGAAGGACAGCAGACAGATTGGATGCTGTCGTCGTATCGACCAAGTAAGAGCTGGGCTGTTCTGTTCAGGGCTGATGTGCCCAGGGCAAGCCTCTCTGGACCACATGGTCTGGCCAGGCTGAGGCTCCTAGGGGACACTGAGCAGGCAATTAAGAGCAAAGGAGGGACCTACTCTGATTAGCACTGGGGAAAAGGTGTGTGTGTGTGTGGGAGGGGGTTGTTGGGCAGAAAGTAAAGAGTTTTTTTCACAAAAGTTCAAACTGTATAATCTACAGACATAATGATTGGACTGGATTACCTTTCAATTTTAGGTCATAATCTTTAAGAATGAGTGTCCCAAAGTCAGATGATGTCTTTAAAGTACATCCTAATGGTTCCTTCCTCAGAGGGTCACTGTGAACACTAAGAGATAACATCCCTGAACCGGACTCAGCCTGTGTCCAGCACCGGAGGAGGCTAAAACATTACATTTATTCTCAAATTGAAAAATAAAGTCAGTTCGTGTGAAATACCATGCTAGAACAACAATCCATGTTTGAAAACAATGTTTGCAGCCAGTAGACTCATGCCAGAGCCCTATATAGCTATTTAAAATCAGAAAATGAAGGAAAAGTTAAGAAATAGCATTCATGATCATTTGTCAAGTTAAATCATATTATTAAACAGTGGCAACACAGAGATGCACAATTTCATTTGTAAGTGATCACTAATAACATCTTTTAAAAAAGAAATTAGGAAATCCAAGCCAATACTGGTTTATATTTCAACTTTGCCTTTAAAGATGGTTTTCTTAAGGATGGCAAGTCCAGAGACAAGCTATGCCTATGTCTGCTTCATTGAGATAACTAATAAACCACAAAAATTTAAAAGATCTTACATTTTATGCAAATTAATGCCTTGCCTTTGAATATACTCTTATATTAAAGGTAAATGGCAACTCTCACTCCAAAAAGATGGATAATTTGGGTTCTATTAAAATGGCCATATGGGGGCTAGGGCTGGGGCTCAGTGGCAGAGCGCTTCCCCTGGCATGTGTGAGGCACTAGGTTTGATTCTCAGCACCACATATAAATAAATAAAATAAAGGTCTATCAAAAATTACAAAAATATTTTTTAAAATGGCCAATAAGCACAGGAAAATATGTTACACATCAGTAGTCACTAAGGAAAAGCAAATCAAAACAAACCAGGATATAGCACTTCGAGTTGGATGGTTATAACAAAAAAGCAGACAATAACTAGTATTGCTGAAACCTCTCTACTAGTGGGGATGCACATAGGCAGTTTAGGAAATAGTTTGGGTGTTCTTAAAAATGTAAACCACAACCCCTTGCCCAGCACCTCCAATAGTAAATCTATACACAAGGAAATGAAAACGCTGTAGAAAACTTTTATGTTCAGAGTAGCAGCATCGAACCTCCACCCCTGTGGAAATATTCAATGACCATCAGCTGGCGTATGGATAAATAAGATGCATTATATCATACAGTGGAATGTGACTTGTCACCACACAGACATGCTATGCCATGGACACATCTTGAAAATGTTATACAAAGTAGAAGAACCAGGCACAAAAGCCATGTATTGGGTCCATTATAATGAAATTTCCAGAATAGATAAATCTTTGGAAACAGAAAGCAGATTAATGATTGCCCAGGAATGGAGCTGAGGAGTCAGGGAAAATGAGAAATGACTACCAGTGAGTGCAGGTTGGTTTCTTTTCTTTTCTTTCTTTCTGTTAGTGACTAAAATGTCTAAAATTGACTGTGGTAATGGTTCACATCTCTTTCTGTATACTAAAAACCATTGAATTACACAATTTAAATAGGTAATTTCATGGTGAATTTAGAATTATAACTCAAAATGATTATATTAAAAGTTAAGAACTTATGCTACTTAAAAGACATTAACACAAGTCTTGAAGTGTCTTTGTATTTACATATGGTACATACATAAATGCTAAAATACATATATATATATATATATATATATATATATATATATTCTTATCTAAAATACATAAATACTATGGGGAGTACTGGGGAAATGAAATTGACCAAATTATGTGCATGTGCCAATATGTCAATGAATCCTATTATTATGTATAATTATAGAGCAACAAAAATTTAATTTAAAAACTGAATATTTTAAGTACCATATACATATCCAGAGTGAATATTAAGTACATGGCATTAAATTGTACTTCACTTAACTCTAGATAACAACTGTCATTGTGCAATGTAACTGTTAGTCACCTATATATTCACATAACAGTGAACAGCTTTGGTATTTCTTTCCCTTTGACTAAAATATAGTTTTATTTCAAATAAGTTTAAAAAACCAAAAAATATAAATACCCGACTTTAAAAGACAGCTTACTGGAAAGGATATCCAAACCATCAATAAACAAATGAATAGTTAGTATATATCAGGGAAACATCAGTGAAATTCATTAGGTGGGACCTTCATCCCTGATGTTAGCACTAACCAGAGGGTGGCAAGGACATGCATTAGCAGGCTCTGTCATGATCACCTGGTACATTCCTGAGCAAAACCCTTTGACAATATAGAATAAGACTAAATATATATTAAAACTCCATAGCTGTCAATAATGCAGGTAGGTGTCACCAAAAAACATGTACTAGAATATTCAGAACACACTGTTTGTGAGAAGTCCAACTTCAAAGAAACGTAAATCCTCAGAACCTTTTAAAAAATACTTATACTTTGTAAAATACTTTTTATCTACTTATCATCTATTTATTTGTGGCAAGAAGTCCAAACAGGACACCTAAGAGTAAGCTTTTCTGTGCACAATACACTACTGTTGACCACAGGTACATGTTGTGCACTGAGCCCCAGAACTTCTCATTTTGATTGACTGAATCCACTGAAGAGTAACACCTGTTCCTTCCTCTCTACAGCGGCTGGCAAGCAGTGTTAGATTCTTTTACTTTATGAGTTTGGTCTTTTCAGATGCTGTGCGCTAGTGGAATCACGCCGCATTGGCCCATCGGTGGCCAGCCTATCACATGCTACTGTAAAAATGAGCTGTGATCTCTCCACACAGTGCAGCACTGTGCAGGGAGAGGGAAACACCCAGCGGTGCAGAGAAGGCTCAAAGGAACGCCCACCCAGGAAACTCAGGGCTCCCGTGCACGTGCTGAAGGTGTGCCTTTACATCAAGGGCAAGAACAGAACTATCAACCCATGCCCTAGTGTGGGTACTTGTTGAAGGGAAGAAACGGAAGGTGTGGGTGCTGGCAGGGTCCTGCTCCATGGCCTGAGTGCTGGCTAGGTGGCTGTTGTACCCTTTTGTGCACTTTGGGCACATATGTTACACTTTTATAAATTTTAAAAAGTGACATGAAAACCACATTTTCTCTGCACAGCTACAGATTAGCACCTAAGTTTCACTTCCCAGTCCAATTTGAAAACGTATATGATGCCATAAAGTGGTTCCTGCGCAAAAATATTCTTGAAGAGTATGGCGTGGACCCTGGGAGGATCGCTGTGTCTGGAGATAGTGCAGGGGGGAATTTGGCTGCCACAGTGGCACAACAGGTTTGGCATGGCCATTTCCGTGTTTTTAATTTTTATTTTCTTAAATCATCTGCTTATAAACAGAATGAATACACATATTAAAATATGAATGTAAATGGAAAGGCAGCAATCTTGGGAAATATTAAAGAAATAATTGAAAAAAAAAAGCCTCAAACATCACTATACCAATTTATACTCCTGTCACAGTATTTTCTTGCTTAATGAAGTGACAGATAATCCCTTGATTGAAATTTTATCTGCATCAGTAAAGTATTATACTAGTTAGATGAATGAGATAATGTATCATTCGTGCAGAAGTGATCTGGCAAACCTTTTAGAGATCCCACTGTATTCAGTGATCTTCAGGGGAGTCTTCCCCTGTTGCTGGAGTAATCACACCAGTTTTAGAAATTCATCAGCACACTCAGAGGTTCCTGTGAGATTTACAAAGCAGAAATATGAAAATGACAAGGGATTTCTTTGCATACATGATAAGATATATTTGTCCTTTATTGAATAATGGTAGTACAGTAATAATAGTAAATAGCATTTTAATCCCACACTATATATAGAAAGGACTCCATTTTTATAGCAAAGGGAACATACTGCTATTGATTGTTTAAAATCTGAACTATTTTTCAATGCAGTGGTGAGAAGAAGTAGAGTCTACCTATCCATTACATCTGTACTAGTTTAGATTTTATTAGCTGACGTTTAATTATAAACTATGAACTTAAAGTAATACAACAACATTGCTGTTATTCTTGTTGTTAGATTTATATAAGTGTCTCAGCTTCTAGAGTCCATTGAATGACATTTTCAGAAGGAGAGAATCTGCATTTGGGATTTGAAATAACCACAATATAAAACAAATACTTGACACTGTAGATTTCTAATCAACTGCGGGTTGTGTAATGTGGTAGAAAAAGTACTTTATTAGACATGAGGAGATGTGAACTTTCTTGAGATGCAGTAATTTCCACATGTCATCTTGACTGGGTCGTTTAATCTCTCTAAACATCCATTTCTCACTTATAAAGAAAAATGAACTTTTAAAACTTCAGAGAGTTGTTTTGAAAACCACGTACATAAGTTTATATTAAAAATATTTGGCAACCTGTGATGATATTTACAAATGGTCTCCAAAATGTCTAAATAGGTATTTAGTGAAAATGTAAATACATAACCACAATCTGCAAAATACTTGATTACATCCAATAGCTGTATTTTATAGAGAAGTTTAAATATATATTTTATAGCATAAAATGAATTTTAAAAACATATAAAAGTACATTTTAAAGTGTACTTTTAATTTCAAAAAATAAAACATCTTGTAAAAGTCTTTTTATGGATCACTTTTCTGGCACAGTCTGGTCTCTGTACCTTCCTCTCTTCAGACCACTGATCTTTACGAACATGAGCGCATCAGCTTGAAATAGAAAATGGGCACCAATAAAACAGCACCTGTCCAAATCTCCCAAACCAGCCTGTCACAGCAGCATCACAGCCAAGTCCTTATTAAGTGATTCTTTCTCTCCATGGCACAACCAGTTGACATACTAGTATATTTTAATAAACTTTTACATTAACAGACAGGAAATGAGGTAGGACTTGCAGAGTTCTTCCGGTGGTCCCTCTTGGTAGAAAGGCAGGACATTAAGCTGCCAATTCTTGATCAAATCCCTTTGCCTTATCTGTGAGGAGGACAGGATGGGTGTTTTCCACACGTTAAAAACATGCTTTAATTCAGGATCATCTAGTTCTAGAAGCCCATTTTAAATATTTGAAATCTGTTGAGATGGTATATTCCAGTCATTACTTTGTTGGAGGCTTTTCATTTACATGTAGCCTATATTTTTACAGTTGTTTTTGATTCTTTCAAATGAAAATAATGGGTGTTATCAATCTTAATTCCTCCTTAGCTCTTGGATGACCCAGATATCAAGATCAGACTCAAGATCCAGTGTCTAATTTACCCTGCCCTGCAAACTCTGGATGTGGAAACGCCATCCTATCAGGACAACGCACACATGCCAGCTCTGCCCAAGTCTCTCATCATCTGGTTCTATAGCAATTACATCACCAGTGACAGTGCCCTGAGGAAGGCCATGAAACATAACCAGCACGTGCTGGTGGAGGCGGCCCCCCTCTTCAAGCTGGTCAACTGGAGCTCCTTGCTCCCCGAGAGGTTCCTCAAGGGACACGTGTATAAGGCTCCAACCTTCGGTAGATCTGAGTTAGCCAGAAAGCATCCTGGATTCCTGGATGTGAGGGTCGCGCCTCTGCTGGCAGCAGACAGCAAGCTGCGGGACTTACCGCAGACCTACCTGGTCACCTGTCAGTATGACGTCCTGCGGGACGATGGGCTCATGTATGTGCGCCGCCTGCGGGACGCCGGGGTTCCTGTGACCCACAACCACGTGGAGGACGGCCTCCACGGAATCCTGTCCTTCCCCGTGTTCAAGATTTACTATAGGCTGATGGATGAGTACATCCGGTGGCTGGATGAAAATCTATAGTAAAACATGGAGAGGTGGTTTTAAAAGGAAACCAAATCTCAAAATCTCAGAAAATCTTCAGCGGGTGGACTTGGCCTTTCTTGGAGTGGTCTATTTCAAGTTCACATGTAGTATGCTTCTTACTGTGATGGATGGGCTATGATTTTCTTCCTTTCTTTTAGAGGTTTCACTCCATTTTTCCACATTGTCTAGTGCTATTTCTGGCATTTTCCCTCCTACATTGTTAATCTTACTTTTTGAATATCTTGCTTTATTACTTACTGTCATCTGGTGTGTGTGTTTTGGCTTCTATTCACAAGTACAGGAAGATAATAAAAGGAAACATTGCCATTGGGAGAAAGGTCAAGATTTTAATCAAAGGATATTTGTGGTTTGAAGCACCTCAAGTGAGGTGCCCCTTTTCTCAGAGCGGAGCCACTTATTACCCCTACCAACTGCTCTCCTCTGAAGCACCTCTAGAATCCAGCCAGCAAGTGTCACACTGCTCAGTGCTGATAATCATGGCAGTACTCTGAGGAATCAGCTGCTTTGTATTTGGGGAAAGGTAGAGAAATTGGAGTCCCCTAGAGACTGAAGAGGTCTTCAGAATGGACAGTGACTTAGTCATAGACAAATAATACACTATGCAAGTAGCCGACCAGGAATAGAAAAACTACAGAAAAAAAATCAATCTGTGAAAAGCCCATCCTGACATTACAAAGAGGAAGGCAGGACAAAATGGATTACCTCAAGCCTGAGTAGAATTATTGGCAGTGACTGTGAGCTATGTAATGCATCCAAATTAGGAGGAAGCACAGTCACAGGTGTTGGGGGGTGGTGCAAGGAGCTCCTTGCAGGCACAGACCCCAGACTTTTCTCTGTGTACTTTACCATCCTCACTGCAGGCTCTTGTGTTTATACTTACAATTATTATACTTCTGAGTACGACTTGAATAGTCTAGGCAGAGAGGGGCTAAAACCATAGGGGTACCTTTGAGGCCACTCCAATTTATCAGGAAAATGGCAGCGACCTTAGAAACTGCAAACAATAGATTCCTTATATTTTATTTCCCAGGACAGTGCCACAAGAAATTTGGCCAAGCCAAAGTTTTGTAATTGGGAAAATTACCTTTTATTATGTGAAGAAATAAAATAAGAAGAAGTAATTCGTAGAATATGCCACATAGATCAATAGCAATAACTTATTAAATAGCTATTGTGGAATAATTATTTTCTGAATAAGTGGATAAGGTCATATTTAACAGGAAATGCAATGAATAAAGAAATAAGTGGAATAATTATTTTCTGAATAAGTGGATAAGGTCATATTTAACAGGAATTGCAATGAATAAGGATATAAGTTGGGTGTGTGGTTCCAAATTTCTATACTGACTATAAAATGGTTCATTGTTTTGAAATAAACTCATGAATTAATCCATGTCTGGAACTTGACCTCTTTGCATCTCCTCCCTCCTTCTTTTTTTTTATTATTACTTGTTCAAAACATTACATAGTTCTTGACATATCATATTTCATACATTTGATTCAAGTGGGTTATGAACTCCCATTTTTACCCCGTATACATATTGCAGAATCACATCAGTTACACATCCATTGATTTACATATTGCCATACTAGTGTCTGTTGTGTTCTGCTGCCTTTCCTATCCTCTACTATCCCCCCTCCCCTCCCCTCCCCTCCCATCTTCTCTCTCTACCCCATCTACTGTAATTCATTTCTCTCCCTTGTTTTTTTTCCCTTTCCCCTCACTTCCTCTTGTATGTAATTTTGTATAACACTGAGGGTCTCCTTCCATTTCCATGCAATTTCCCTTCTCTCTCCCTTTCCTCCCTCCTTCTTTGGTAGGAAAAAGCAACACTAACATGATCACTTAAAGGAAACATCTTTTGGACCAGAGAGCTGTGCACTTAAAAGTCACCTATGATATTTTCACATTAAACAAATAATTACCACAATTAAAGTCAGGAAGGAATGAAGCAGGCCATAAAAGCAAGCCAGAGAGTTCATTTACTGAAATTATAAAATTAACATTTCCAAAGCTTGACCTATGTCTTGATAAGAGTCATAACATTTTTAGATTAGTTATTTTTAATGAAATACAGTGCAATGATACTCTTTCCAAACAGGGTGACTGCTTAGGGAGAAACCCTCCAACTTCCAAAGATCCAGCAATTCCACTATCAGGTATTTTCTCAAAATTACTTGAAACAGGTCCACAAAACAAGACTGCCACAGTTAAGTTCATTTCAGCAAAGAACTGGAGATCCCCAACTTTTTGTACTTTCCTTCTCTTCAAATCTAACAATTGAAAACTAGCACCTGAGCATACCACTTCCTCTGTTTTTAATACCACAGAACATATTTGTCATGTGACCCCTTACAGGACCTGGATGAGGGTAGGGGTTTGCCTTACTCCTGGCTGCCTGCAGACCATGCCCTACCTCCAGGCCTGTTCAGGTTCTGGGAACTACAGCCTGTAGGCCAAACCCAGATGGTACCATGTTTTTGAATCACTCTGAGCTAAGAATGATTTGCACATTATGGAGAATTGTTAAGAAAGAAGAGAAGGATGAAGAAATGGAAGGAGAAAGAGTGGAACATATTGATGCAGAACACATTTATCATATGACCCCTTTACAGCAAAAGCTTACTGCAGTCCATACCACAGCTGCCTGTCCTTGAAACCACATGATGGACCTGGGTTTCTCCACCTCAGGTCTCAGAAGGTCTTGTCTTTGAGTTTCCTGTTAATATCTCACTGTTACATTGGCAAGCCCAGGAAACATCCAGACCCACAGCTATTAGGCATGTTTCCTCTAAGAATTTTGTTTTCTCCTTGAATAAAATACTTCCATGGTCATTCCAGAATGTGTCGTGACCAGCAAGTGTGCCTCCTCCATAATCTCAGCATCAGACACGCATGTTCATTGGGTCCTTAATTTGGGTAGTGTTTGAGATAAATAGGACTTGAAGTTCATCACCCATACCAACATTTCACCCTTCTCACTGTCATCCTGTGATTCCTTCTGCTCCTTTCCAAAACCCTACCCTTGGACATTCCATCCACTCTCTTGTCTATCTGCTTCTTTGTGGACGTTCCAACCTGGAAGAAATCCCTCTCCCTACTGACTCTGCATATGACCTGTCTAGCTAAACATGGGGGAGGAAAAACCAAAAACAGGCTGAAATGCCCTACTTTTAATCAAGACTGAAGACCTCAAGTGTGCACTTTTAATGATGTTGGCAGTCATGTTATGGGTCTCTAGGGGTCAACTTTTTTGTTCTATACTGTACTCAAATATCCAACAGTTCTTTGCTACTTCTTCAAATGATAACCTTGTTTTCCATTTCACTAACAAAATAGAAATATTGAAGAAACAACTAAAGAAAACTTTCACAAACTCCCACCTTGCATTGACTCCAGTGTCTCACCTGCTACTACCATAAGTGAGCCAAGTGTTTGTGCTTCACATTTGGATTGTCTCCCTCCACATGTCAGGAGGCTGCATCCTGTTTGGATTCCCAGAAATGGTTGCTATGGTAATTCTCTCCTTTTAATCCTGCATCATGGGTCTTTCTCTCTCTACTGTATCATCCCCATTAACATACAAATATATTTCATTTTTACATATTTTTAAAAACAACAAAACTTTGTCAAGATCATTTTCTTATCCATCTTTCTCCCTATGTCTCTACTTTCTTTTATAGAAATATTCTTGGGAAAAATCTTTTATTTTGTCTCTACTACCTCTTTATATTCTTGTCATCAGTCATTTTTCATGAAACATTCAAGTTGTCTTAACAAATCATGACCTCTATATGGCTGCATTAAGGGTCAGTTTCCATCCTAATCTTTTAGCCCTGGAAGCAACATTTGACCCAGTGCCTCTCTGCCTCTTCACCCCCTGTCTCTTCACTTGGCTCCGGGTCATCCAATTCTCCAGGATTCCCTTCTACTTCTCTGGCCTCTCTTTCTCAATGGCATGTGCTGCGTCTCTGTCTCTCTTCTCCAGGGAGAGTCCTTCCACTGGTGTCCCCAGTGGCCTGTGTGCTGAAAGCTCCAACTCACAAATCCAGCTGGGACCTGGTCAGTTCCAGATTGCTGAGATGTACAAAGATAAATTAAAAATTTTGAGTTTCTTCTGGAAATCACTGCCTCTCATAAACTTTCTCATTTCTGCAAATGGAACTCCAACATTCCTCTGGAAGCCCAGGCTGAGAGAACCTCAAAGTCAGAGCTCTGTGCTTTTCCTTCTGTCATATACCAATGCAGCAGCAAATCCTTTTGGTTTTTATCTTCAAAATGTTTGGAGAACTCAACCATTTCTTAACCCATCACCGTTTTTAAACTTTTAAGATTCCTATGGCACCCTGATTAGTCACTGTGCCTTAATCCTGTTCTCTTAGAGATTACTCTTAACACATAGGAAAAGATGATCTTTTAAAAATGGAATTCAGGACATAGCACTCCTTTGTTCAAAATACTCAAAAGGGCTTCTCACCCAGGGCAGCTTGTTACCTGAAGTCTTCATGGTGACTGGGACCTACTGGGTCTTAGCCACAGTTTATGCTAGTACTCATCTCCAATTTCATTTTATACCACGCATGCCTTCTGCTCTCCAACCAGTCTGGCCTCTTTTATATTCTCAACTCAAGCTCAGAGTCTGGGTCCCTTTGCCTTTAGCACCTGTCCCTCAGATAATCTTCTCCCCAAACATGAACATCTCTTTTAGGCCTTTCCTCCACACTCTACTTAAAATCCTATTCCACCTACTCTGGCACACTGATCATACACAGTGCCTGGCCTGGTTTCTCTTCTCCAAACAGGTCAAGTTTAATCCCACCTGTTTAATTGTTTCACAGGATTTATCACTAGGAGATGATCTTGTTATTTTATCCATCAGAATTGGCATTTAGTAGTAAACATTTGAACACCTTATTATTTGTATTTCTTTACAAGAAGATAATCACAAATAATTATATATATATATATATATATATATATATATATATATATAAAATTCAGATTAGTACCACAAGTATCATATCTATTAGCTAATTTATTTTTCTTATCAATATTCCCCATTTTATAAGTGAGAAACCAAACAAGTAATTCAACTAACAAATAAAGAAAAATCATTAGCAAAGATATCAGGTTAGAAATTTCCCTGAGAGTTCTTTCACAAATTGGCCACAATTAAAGATCAGATTTTTGGAACATTGCCTGCATTGCAAACATAATGTGAGGAGTTAGGACAAGTGTTGAAAGTGGCCTGGTTGTCAGTCACAGCCCCTTCTGGTCAGAGGGTCAGCACTTGTGGTGAACAGTGCTCCTTGCTCCTCTTCCATTTCAAAACAGAAACAAGACCAACTTCTAATTAATAAAGTTTTACCCAGGGGGGGTAAAGGAGTACCAAGTTCTCCTCCCTTGTGCTCTATGCATCCTAACACATTGGAAGCAGCAGAGGGAACTTAGCCTATATTCACAAAGAAGAAATAAGAGTTACTTTAATAACTCTACTTGCTTTCTATGAGAAGGAAGTATTTTCAGGGCATGGTGAGGAACTTTTCTCAAACAAATGTTCTTCGGTTGCAACAACGGTTTGGTAATCTCACTCTGCTAATGTTTATGCTTCTTGGCATTTCTGTGTACACAAATATCAGCAATAATCCCAGTTGTGGTTTTTCATTTAAATGCCTTTAAAGAGCAAGATATTTTGCTAAGTATTTATGATGAAGGAGCACACGGGGTAGAAGAGGACTTCTCAGACTTTCATGGGCTTTGCTCAGAGAACTTATTTCTGGGCTCCCACCCATTGTTTCTGATTGAGCAGTTCAGGTTTGGCACCCAAGCATTTGTGTTTTCAAGTTCTTGGGTAATTGATGCTCCGGCTCCAAAGATCACCGGTCAGTTACTCTTGATTTTGATCTTTCTTCAGATTTAGTGTAGACTGAGAATCATTTGAAAGGGTGATGCCATCACTGGATCTTTCCTTCCTTCAGAAAGACCCACAGGAGATCCCAAATACGTTGGAATAAAGCCGATCTGGTGGCAGAGAGAAGGAGCTCACCTCTTCAGCTGCGAGTCATAGATAAGGGCTTTGTTGAATGGACAGAGAGAAGGGAGGAGGCGTCATGCGTCAGGGGGCTGAGCACTTGCCCTGACTTCTGAAGAGCAAAACAGAGTGTCCAGTGAAGAGGACAGAGTGGGAAACCGGAGGAGCACTGCGGAGAGCTTGAGGCAAAGCCACAGGATTCACCTCATCCGTTGGCCTCTTCCCTGGACAGAGCAGTGGCAGGAAGCTGGTGGGAAAGGAGAGGTCACCAGGAGCCTGGATGCCAAGCCACACATGGTGAGTGTTTCCA